GTTGTAATAGTAACTCTAGTTGTAGTAGTAGTTTTAAGCTTCAGAAAAATCTTCATCATCATCATGATCTATATTTATCGCGGCTTTGTTGTCATTACTATTATTACTTATAGTAGTATTAATAATATTAATATTAGTAGTAGTAGTTTTTGTTGTTGTAGTAGCAGCAGTAGTAGTAGTAGTAGCGGTTTCGTCGCTTTTAACGTAGCAGTATTTACATCTGACCAAGCCATTTTCGTCGCATTTTGTGCATTTCAAAGTTGACGATGATGATGGTGATAGTAATAGTGATGATGATGATGGCGATATTGGGGAGTTTATTACTGTTGATTTTTTGCTACCACGGCAGGTGTAGCAGGGGGTGTATTTGTAGCCACCACATCCGCCACACGTCATGTCGTCCTCTACTTTCTGTTGTTGTTGATGTTGTGGTTTTTGATGTTGTTGTTTTTGATGTTGTTGTTTTTGATGTTGTTGTTTTTGATGTTTTTGTTGTTGTTGATGTTTTGGTTAATTTGATTGTATCAAAACATTCATGAAATAATGAATGCCTACCTTGAAGTCTTTGAAAATTTTTCTAAGTACCCCAGACTCATTCAGGCTTTGTATTTCTTCGTAACTCTGTGTCATAGGTTGATGGATGAATGAATGGATGGATAAATGAATAAATGGATGAATAAATAGTTGGATGGAATGACAGACGGACAAACATAATTACAATAAAGAACCAACCCCTAAATTTAAATCCTCAACGTAGAGGCAAGGCAGCACTTGGATCATCCTATCAAACTCTGCTCGCCTCCTCTCACTAAGACTCTCATCATCTCTCATTTCATTCATTCCTCCTTGCAATTTCAACCTCTTTATCAGATTCAAGGCATTCTCTTCCGAGATGTATACATCTCTCTCGTCGAAAAAGACGCGGTGAGTCTGCAATATCTTCCTAACTTCGTTGCACCTGTCACGGGTCTCTCTAATTACCGTCATACTCGATGTGAAGAGGATGATGAGGCCCCTAGACTGCTCCTCAATTGCCTGGTTAGTGATTAAAATATAGGGATGTGATAGTTTTTGTTGTTGTTATTGGGGTAGGTTTGAAAAAAATAACGCATGCTTACCCGTCTGGCTTTCTCAACGTTAATGTTGCCGAATGCGTTGATTCCACTTTTAACCAAATTTTTAATTCCCCTGAACGATCCAGTCCTGGTTTGCAGCGTCATCATCTTCTTCCGCTTGAAATATTCGTGATCTTCCTCTTCCTGTTTGTCGCCATCTTGCTGTTGGTTTTTAGTGTTTTTGTTATCTCTGTATTCGGCCACGCTCGATGAACCGGCATTCATTGTGAATTTGCCAGCTGGTCGTCTCGATTGCTGCTGCTGCTGCTGTGATGTTGATGATGATGATAATGATTGTGGGGATGACGGTTGTGATGATGATGACGACGGTTGTGATGATGTTGATGATGATAATGTGGTTGTTTTCCTACAGGAGAGCAGCATCATCTGTTGTTGCAGCGACATCATGTCGCTCTCTTCTTCTCCTTCTCCTTCTTCTTCATTATCATCATTATCATTATCGTTATTATTGTTGTTGTTATTGTTGTTGTTATTATTATTTTGGTTGGAGCCGATAATAATGAATTTGTCTTCGTCGACGCTGCTTGCAATTAACGCTTCATCATTACCATCGTTATTATTATTATTATTATTATTATTATTATTATTATTATTATTATTATTATTATTATTGTTACCATCATCATCATCATCATTATTGTTATTATTATTATTGTTACCATCATCATCATCATCATTATTATTATTATTACGCCCACAGTTTTCGTCATCGTCGCCATTTTTAATCCCGCTACCCCCGTAATAATTAACCCTGATTGTATGTTCGTACATCACATCATCACCATCATCATCATCACCAACAACATCGTTATCAGCACCGACATCAACACAATCATCAATGATATCTTTATTGACAGTGATGTCATTTTGTTTGTTATCGTTTGACGGATTGAAATCAATGTTGATGTTGTTGTTGGTGTTGTTGTTGTTGTTGTTGTAGATGTTGTTGTTGTTGATGTTGAATGAGGCAGGTGTGGTATCATCATTTATGATTATTTGATCATTTTTTATTACAATTCTAGAGACGCCGATGTTAACAACTTTGTTATTATTATTATTAGTAGTAACAGCAGTAGCAACAGTAGCAGCAACAGTAGTAGTAGTAGCAGCAACAGCAGTAGTAGTAGAAGTAGCGGCAGTAACAGGTTGCGATAATGATGACGACGACGATGACGTTATAAATTTCGTCTCAGAAGTTTCATACGGCGACAAATTATTATCATTATTATCATTTTTACCATAATTATAATTATTGTTATTATTGTTTTTATTATTATTATTATTATTATTATTATTATTATTTATGATGACAGAATCAGTAAGAGTAGTGGTAGAGGTACTTGCAGTAGTTTGTGTTTTGGCGTTAAAATCGTAAGCATTCAAAGCTGAAGTTCTTGATAACGTGGTTGTTGATGAAGACGGTGGTGATAATGGTAATGATGTAGTTGCTGCAACAGCTGCTGCTGCTGCTACAGATGATGATGATGATGATGTCGTTGATAGCTTTTGTTGTTGTCGTTTTAATTGCCGCAATGACAGTATTTCAACGTTTTTAGATGGTTGCTGTGTTTGTTGCGGTTGCGGTTGCTGCTGTTGTTGCTGCTGCTGCTGCTGCTGCTGCTGCTGCAATAATTCTTCAACAGATGGAACATTTGTTGAGTTTTGTGTTGGTCGCTGTAGCTCTAATTTTGTTTCTACTTTTGTTTGCGATTCTCGTTCTATTATTTTTTGGGATGGTTGTTTTAATTGCTGTTGCTGCTGTGGTTGTTGTTGTGATTGTTGCAGCTGTTGAAGCTGCAGCTGTTGAAGCTGCTGCTGTTGAAGCTGCTGCTGTTGAAGCTGCTGCTGTTGAAGCTGCTGTTCATGTGGTATCAACGATGTCGTTGTTGATGATGTGGTAGAATTTTTCTGTAATATAGAATTATGTTGTTGCTGTTGTGGTTGTTCTTGTTGTGGTTGTTGATATTGTTGTTTATCAACTGAACTAATTCCAAAGATGTTATTGTTACTAACATTATTATTAATATTTATCTGATTATTATTTATATTAATATTGTTGCTGTAGTTGTTGTCGTTGTTGTTGTTGTTGGCAATGTTGTTGCTGTATGACTCCGTGTTTTGTTTCTTCTTATTGATGTATTTATCAACGGCAGCTTCCCTGCTACTACAAACGCTATTCTGCTCTTTCAAGTTATGACGATGTTGTTGTTGCTGCTGCTGCTGCTGTTGCTGCTGCTGCTGCTGATAATGATGATGATAATTATAATTGTCGTTGTTGTCATCATCGTCATTGTCTCTTGAATTTCCTCGGCCGAAAAAATTTCTTAACTGACTGCCTAAACTTTTAGTGTTTTTGGTCAATGAGTTTCTTTGTTGTTGTTGTTGATGTTGTTGTTGGTGGTTGTATGGAGATGATGATGAAGATGAAGAAGACGATGAGGAGGCGATGGATGACGACGGTGCGGCTGCTCCGAACGCGTATTTCTTTTTCTTCATCATGATGTTGTTGATGTTGTTGTGGTTGTTGTTGTTGTTGATGATGATGATGATGATGATGATGACGTTGTTGTTTCTTATAATATTCTTATAAAATTAATCTAACTACAACCTATCCAACTGATCTTTTTTTCTGTTATAATCTAATCTGAAACATATTCATGGTAGGAAAATTATATTAACAATACGCCTAAATCATTCAATATATGCATTTATTATATATAGATTGTATGTTTGTGTTTGCTTGTGTGTGCGTGTGTGAATGAATGTGCGTGTGTGTTTCAATAAATGTGTTATATATGCTTAGTCGGGCTGGTAGCAGCACAATGGCCATGAATGAAAACCTTAATATGTATGGTACGAGCGTGTAATGTGCATGCATATAAGCAAGAAGCAAACAAACTTAAGAACAGACAAACAAACTACCTACAAATACAATCTCATCTACATACAAACAAACAGACAGTAACAAACCTACAAACAAACAGACAGTAACAAACCTACAAACAAACATACAGACAAACAAACAAACAAACAAACAAACAAACAAAGAAAAAATCACCAGCAGGTTGACATTATACTGCTAATTATTGTCCGCAAACTTGTTTCTCATATAACTTATATGTAGTGATTGCTATATAAATGGGATGCTTTGAAATTTTATTTATTCGTCACGCTTCAGTGATTGTGAAAAATTTAATCAATAATTTAATTTATTTTTAATTGCCTTTAACAGATTTAGTTGGTTTTAAAAGTGAAAATAGTAGTTTTGTTAAAGGATTCTTAAATTTTTAAAATCAATATTTATCTATGCAGTTCATGTCGTTTTGTTAATATTACTATGCTCTCTATGCTCTATGCTGCGGTGAAGCATATCTAACTACCTTCGTGGTCTCTTCGCTTGGAAACGTTTTTATGGAATGCAGAGGAATTAATTCGGCTCATTTTATTTCAAACAACTTTCAATCTTTTTTATTTAAAATTCAATTTAATTTTGAGACAGGCGCAAAGCTGTTCATATTTCAAGAAGAGGACAAAAGAGCCTGACCACCGAAAATGGAATTCAAAAAGACCGACAGTTAGTCAAAGTTTTAAAAAATGAAGAAATTAATTGTTCCATCTGAATATAAATGATATGTTTCTATTTAATAATTCCAAATTCACTTATATTTTTTTATTTGAAATACAATTGAATAAATACTAATAGCATACTACTTATTTATATTGCCCTACCTACACTATGACTCAATAACAAGTAAGTATCTATCTATATATCTGTACTGATATACAATACCATGCATATCACAACACATACATACAGTTTTGGACAGAGTGAAAGCTTTCTTACCAAAAATAGCAGAGGCAAATCAAGATCTGGCTGAAAAGGCAGACGAGTTGTGCATTGAAACTCCTGTTGATGAAGAAACGTATGATGGAAGGGTCATTGAAATGGTCTAGCTTTCTTATTTAGTTTTTCATTAATTTTTTCATTGTCAGTCATGTCTTTATAATTTCTATAACAAAAATTATTACAGTTAGTGCTTCAACCTCACCACACAAGTTCTCTATTAAATGTTATTTCATTGTTGAGCATATTTGGTCAAATATGTGAATTTGCAGATGTTATTCCGACATTGCTCTATCCTTATTTTAAATTTAATTTTTGACAGGTTTTATGATTGGTGCATATGTGTGTGTGTGTGTGTGTGTGTGTGTGTGTGTGTGTGTGTGTGTGTGTGTGTGTATTCATTAGTTTTTGTACTCCTGTACATTCATTCATTCCTCTATTTTTCAATCATTTATTTAAATATCAATAATTTTGTTTCTTCCATTCAGAGTTTCGCTTTGGTAAAGGCCGACGGCGAACATACAAAGAACAGTGACGATAGTGATGACGATAGCAGTGATGATGACGACGACGACGACAACAACTCTACAACAAACATACAGAATGAAATTGTCAAAGACATCAACAAAAGAGAACAAAAATCAATTGGTAAAAATAGAGAATTAATCCAAATTATTGGTGATGATAAAAATGAAAGCATTGCTGAAGGTAATGAAAGTTAATAAATAATAGCAGAAATGGTCTTATTTATTTTAATAATGGTTAGATATGCAACTAGAGTATCAAATGATGACCAACAGTTTCTGAAATTCACATCACCAGAAACAATGTCACTGATCCAAGAAATTGATTTTGGCAAAATTAAATTATTGTATGTGCGTGTGTTTGTAAATTTCGTGTAACTGTTTCTATAGCAAAATTACTTGCCAATGTATATGACTATTAATTGTACTGTTATATACTTATACTGCAGTTATTATGTAAAACATGGATGTTGTACTACTACGAATGTACGTTTTACTGAAATACGTGAAAGTTGTATGTTGTACCTAGCGTGTGTGCGTGTGCTTGCTTGTTTTTTCGCATTTGGAACTGATTCATTTAACTCGAATGCGAAAATTACCTGATTTTATTTGTGTGCATTTACATTATAGGCCTAATTAGTAATATTAGTAGTTTTGTTACTAAGAAGACAATTGCCAACATTAATATGAAAGGTTTATTGGACTAGTATAATCTATCTAAATAATTTATATGGTCACGTGGGTATGACAAAACTGCATCCAAGCTGCCTTTTGAGCAAATGGCTAGGCCCACCGCTTATAACTGGTGGTTGTCGTCAGGATGGGTGTCCGGATGTAAAAATTTTCCCCCAAATTATTCTCTGCCGTGCCTATAGTTAATATTAATTCCTGTTACTGATTATTAGACTGCAGCGTCTGTAACGATAGTTTATAGCAACAATTTAGCAATAGTATTTGTAGATAACAGAATTTAATTGTATATTATAGCATTTAATTATAAATTTTCATTTTTTTCCAAAATTTTCTTTGCGGCCAGTTTCAACTCGTTTTGTACGTACAAGTCCGTGTTCCCTGCCACCATGTAAGCTTTTTGTAAATTTATTTTACAATTAATTATTAATTAATTAATTAATTAATGGTCGGTCGATTGATCGGATGAAATGAGTAAAATGTCAATAAACTCTAAATTTGTGAACTGTGCGGATGATGGTGAAATAATGATGAATGATAACAGTGGCAGATCTAGGAAGATTGTAATTAAAAGTCAGTTTTTACACAGGGAAGTTGAAAGCGATTGATTGAATGATGAACTGTAGATAAGATTAGCAAATTAGAACGGAGATGATGAGGCTGACTAACGTAGATGCTCCAGTACAAGGGCATTGAAACGTGCAGAACAACTGATCGAACGAATGCAAGACAGAGAATTCTCTCCTTTCCTTAGTTTTGAAATGTCGTTGGAGATTTCTGTGATAACTTTCAACAGGCTTTCTAAGTTTGTTAAGTAATAATAAAGTTTCGATGATTCGTTCGATAAGAAGTTAGAATGATCTATCTTAGGATATGTTATCGCGAATTTACGTAATCATCTCAAACTCATAAAATTTACGTTCGGTTGGTTAACATGTTATCTTAAATATAAATCATTTTTGATATTTTTGTTAACGAAATAAACTTTAACCAAATTTTTCGCAAACAAAAATTCGAACCGTGTTCACTTCTGAGACCGACCAGTTTGATTTTATTGGCTTCGTGGTTGGCTAATCTTCTCAAACGACAAGCTCTTGACGATAACAATTGCTTTCGAGCTGATGAAGATGATGGTGATGGTAAATGTGGTGATAGAAGTGATGAATCAAATGACGTTGGTAATGAGAATGATGACGCAGACGAGGATGACGACCGCGATGTGAAAGATAAGGTGGGAGGTTTATTCTTTTGACAATTAAGTGAATAGTATTGATAACCAATGTCGATTAATTTGAAAACATTCGGTTTAATATCGTTACAAGGACTAGTTCGGTATTTCAGTAATTGCAATTTATTGTATTCGGCGCTTTCTTCGCTAGCAGCACCTGTAGATCGGATGTCGGCATAGTTAATCCGATAGAAATCCTCAGAAACGTTACAATTAAAATTGTTGATATCGCCATACAAGTTGTCATCGGTACAAATTTCATTGAAGTTACTTGCGAAGCTGGTTTTCGTGTTATTATCGAAGATGGGAATGTCGATATCAAGCAAATCAAGGATGTCCTCATCTCGGATTTTGCTGCAAAATCAATTGATACAACACGCCAAACAACAATAAAATGATATCAATATCATCATTAACAAACTTTTCATATAAATCGAGTGGGAATTCTAGATCTGCTAAATCGAGATCCGTTATATTGAGGTAACTGTTCACCGAGTCGGTAGGTGGAAGGATGTCATCACTGGCATTAGTTTCATTTTCGTTTTTCTTGTTAGAGTTTCGATTCTTTGGCTTCAATTTGATGGGATCCACATAATCGAGCCGTTGATATGGATCGGCCGATATTACGAATTTAACTTTGTTGGTTTTTGGACCTTTTGACTGTTGATTGTAAATGAAGAAATTAAGGTGATTTTCAGATCGTAACAACTCTCTCAAGTAAGCGATAAACGAGTTGCAGAACTGTTTTCCATTCGTCGGCTTGGTCTTCAACTGACGATTCCTTGAATATTCGGCTTGAGAAATTAATGATCGATTATTAGAGAATAGATAAATTCGTTCACAAAATTTGTTTCGTGCACAGGATAGCATTCGGCATGGAAAAATTTTAAATTGTCATTTCATCCAGTCACTGCTATAATAATCTACTCACTTTTGCAAACTGGGATGGCTGGCACATTCCGGTACGAATCCATTTCTTGTTTGAGGAATCCAACTTTACAATGTCCAGTTGTTAGTTGCTTCAGCGTTCAGTATAAGAAACGATTGTAGTACCTACTAAACTAACTCGTGGTGTGATATGTCGTTATCCGCTCTTGTTCATGTGTGCGTAAATTGCGTTCATCTTTCAAACATGCGTGTATAAATATCTTTATAAATAAATAAATACACATTTACGCACGCACACACACACACACACACACACATTCCAAGAAACTAAAACCATGGAAAATTTTACAATTCGGTTTCAACAAAATAAGTAAAAAAAAATTTTAAAAATCAAGAGTGAAATTATCATTACTAACAAAAATACTAACAAGTTAATGCAATGCCAGCAGCAAATTATAATAGATCGGTTGTAAGCTTAAAACAAAAAAATGAATTGGAAAATCCAGATACAGACATGACATTAATATTTTCTCAAAGACGTAAACGGAAATTTTTGACGTCACCATCTCGGAGCTGTCGTCATCATTATTTCATATCATTCTTCATCAGCATCACCATCTTTATCACCAGCTCTTTCGTCATAACCATGCAAAATGTTAAAGGCGCAATCAACAATTAAACAATCAACATTTCTTACCTAATCAAATATCATTCAATAATATGCCAGTCATCATCAGTCAATAAACGAATCATTCATCGGTAAAATCCAAAAGCGCTAACACGCAAATCTTCTCAACGAAACAAAACAGTCAGCTCTAACGCATGTCAAGCATACACAACTATTGCCTAACTCATAACGTTGAGGAACTGAAATTTTCAATGAAATTCAACCTAAAATCTTTTGTGAAATCAACTTAAACATAAACCACACCAATTTCAACCATTGAACAAACTAGACAACTCACGTACACTACAATAACCTTCAACAGAAAACTCGAAACCATCGTAAATCCCCAACTTTCTGTTTTGAATCAACCAATATTTATAAATAGTTCGCCGGGATTTTTACCTTCAGACGCATTATATCCACGGACGCGGTAAATAAAACCTCACGTTCGTGCCGTTCTCAGAAGTTTATTAACTATTTAATTGAAAGTCAAATAATTTAACCTGCTGCAGTCATTTAATATTAACTTATTTTCCAAAAGTAGTTTGTAGTCAAAAATGAAAGGCCGGCGAAGGCCCAATCTCGCCCCGTGCCTATATGACGTCACCATGGGGCGTAACTCACTTTTCCGGGATAATTATGATAGATCGTTAAGTGCCAAACGATAAAACGACCGCCGCTCACACTTTTGAAAAATTTCAATCGCTCGAGATCCCCAAATGAAACCGAACTCGTATCATTTCAATATTAAACAGCACAAAATTTGCATACATTATGTTTAGATAATTCCTCATGCTCAAGCGGTAAGGAAATCAAACGAATTCTGAACTTTGAAATTAATTTGCACGAGCCACCACGAAGTTTATGTGCGGACCTTTTTTACTTATTTATTCATTTCTTAACAAAGGAAAGATGAGTAAGTAATAAATTTACAGATCTTATTGACCAATGACTCAACGTCTATCGGTCTTGCCCATCTTTCTCTTTCCGGCAAAGAGATGTTTCGGTTTGGAGGTAAGATGGCGCCTGTCTGCCTCACCCTTGCGCGCGTTCAAATTCAACTTTCTCTGTGCCATCTTCGCTAGCTTCCTTGCTTTATCTGCCATCTAAGAAGAAGCAACATTTTTAAAAATTAAATTTTATTTGAATAAAACAACTTAAAAGCTAATTTAATTAAAATAAATAATGATGTCAAATTCGTAATAGTTAAAATCGTCGGCATCATCATGACTAACCTGATCATCTCTCACTCCGGATCTATCCCTAGGCGTGACCCTTGAACTTGACCTACTTCTCTTTCTGACCAGCGACTTACTTCCCTCTGATTGGTCACGCTTTCTCTTCCTCGATCTATCCACCTGGTTCGTGAAAGAATTAAAATGAAAAAAAGATATAAATATAATTAAATAATTAAACTACGAGAATTTTTTAAAGATTTTAAGTTTACCTAAAAATGATTTCTAATCATTTTTAAAAATTTATCAATTCATAAGAAACTCCTATGGCAATCTCATTTCATTAAATTCTCTTGAAAATGCCTGCCAACACTTACGCAGACTTCATCATTCATAATCGTTATCATCATGAACATTATTATCATTATCATCACCATCACCTCCTCTCCCTGATCGTTGACAACTTTCCCGGCTCTGGGCAGTCTGGGTTTTTCCACCCTCCTCTTCTCACGTGACTCCAAAATCATCAACTTCCGCTTCTCTCGAATCCTAACAATATCGATCATCGCGAATGAGTGGTTGTTGATTGAATGGATAAGGAATGAATGAATGAGCGTTTTAATAACACAAATCTGACCGGAGAATTTGTGGAATTGTTATATAAGATAACACAACTTGTGATTATAGCTTCGAAGCAGTCTCAAAACTAGCAGAAAACGAAAAATGGTAAAAATTGAACACCATGACAATACAACTCATCATTATAGATTATGATTGATGACGAATTAATAAATTACAAGTTCGGCAGATACTTTCATATGAATTTCGTTGTGAAAAATTGAGAAAAGAAATCAGAAAACAAAGTATCTTGACAATATGAATTTATACATTTATAACGATTTCTCTGAGTACAATCATGCACAATACAGGCACGCACAAATGCATGTATATATTTTAACAATTTTGGTAATTGAGCAAAACATTTTGCTAATTAATTAATTAATCATCAGGTGATTTGCTTTTATGAGGTTTTAATTTCGCGCGGCTGGGCACTCGCGAAAAAAGTTCAACGCTTCAAAGCACAGTCCACGTTTAACATTTCTAGTTTCGGTTTCAGGCGGAACTTGGGTCATGACCGAACGTTCGCTTCCGGTCGGACGTTACGAAGAGATAAAAAAGAATGAAAGAAAGAATTAATGAAAAAATGGAACAACTTTTCGGCGGTCAATCTGATGACTTTTGCATTCTCATCTTCTTCCTCCTCATCATCATCGTACATTCCTTTTATAACATGAAAACAATGTTTGTTCATTATCATCGTCATTTTTCATTTAAGCTTTTGAAAACACATTATCCAAATTATTTATCATCACCAAATTGTCATATCACCCCCATCCCTACAAATACCACCCCCGACAGCATCACGACCACAAACCTGCCCTCTCTCTCATTTCTTCTTCTCTCTCCAGCTCCTCCAACTTCCTTTCGATCTCAGGATCGATGAAGTCTGCAATGTTGTGCCCTTCCCAGATTTCCGGAATGACGTCATATTTCTCTTCCGGATTTTTCAACAAGTAGTTCTCTGTAGAACAAAATTCAAGTTTATTAGTGACCTAAGAATGAGTGAACAACTGAACAGATGAATGAATGAACAGTGTATGAACGAGCTAACAAACACTAACTTTTCAAATCCATATAATAATCTTCCCCTTCCTCTAACTGTATATCTCTCTCCTGGCGTTATCACAATAATTACTCAATGAAGCAATAAATTTTATTGGATGTTTAATACGAAATTTTAAAAATATAGAACTGAACCGTTTTTTTCTTGGCATCTGTAACGTCCATCTTTCTCTGCGGTACAACAGGTGGTCTGCTCTTCGTTTCGAAAATGGGAAGAACATAAATAAGCCACATGAAATTACAAGCGAGTATATAAATAACTTTCGCACCATTTGCGAGATTCAATCGACATTGAAACCTAACTAACAAACATGCAAATTTATAGATCTAACAAATATCTATTATTACAATTCTCTCCTCTAAACTTCTCAAGAGCATCAACAACAAACACACAGTGCATGTATGTGTGAATACACGTGAAACAACGCATCACACACAAACACACACGCACGCAAGCACGCGCGCACACACACACACAGCATGTGACTGGCGGAGATTTCTTTGCAATCCCAGCAATGTACAACATGACTCTTATGCAAATATTAATTCCCCAGTCAACCTTATTGTAGCCATTTGGAGGCATAGCCACGTGCAGTCTGTTTAGGATATCGTTCACTTTTCTGGCCCTCACCTTGGCCTCAACTCGGTACTCCAGCAGAGTTTTGCAGACCTAAAAGGTTCGTCCAACAAATCATAATAAGTGATGTAGAGCCAAACAATCGAAATTGTTAATCTATCTAGAGCCAAGCAATCAAAATCTTCATGATTTATATTAAATAATAGCAAACAACAAATCAAAAGAAGGAAAAAATATACCGACGTCATTTTTAACTTCTGATATGCCCTCACCAGTTAAGGTGCTCATCTCAAATAATTTTACGCCCTCTTTCTCTAAGCCATTCAACAATTCCTGATTGCAAAAAGGAATGATTGAATGAATGTATGTATGTATGAATTAAAAATCTAGCAGCTACGCAGTAAACAAAAACTTGAAAAAATTTAAGTACCTTATACTCCTCACTCAACTCACTCCTCTTCCTGACATCGCACTTATTCAGGCAGACCATCTTAGGTTTGTTAGCAAATAATGGCTTCATACTTTCAAACAGGTCAATCTGCGCTTTCAAAGTATAGCCACACTGTTCCGAAGGGTCGACAATGTAAACTATGTGGGCCCTTAAATGGGCCAATGCCGTGATTGCCTGCATTTCGATCGTGTTTCGTTCTTCGAGAGGACGATCTAGCAATCCAGGTGTGTCTATCACCTAGGAGAGAGAAAGAGGTGGTGAGGAGTGATGTTTTGTTGTTGTCATTGTTTGTTTTGTTAGGGATATTAATGCTATTGGTGTGAATGTGCTTGCTGATGTGATTGCTGTCCACATGAAACCTCAACGTTTGTTTTCAGTTATACAGTCTCATCAATCAATAGACTTTTTGAATGAATTACAATGAAATATAAAAATGAAAATAATATTGAATGAGTTTTTATTTTTTGTAAAAAAAAAAAATGTCGCCGACTTGATATTTGAGAGTGGAATAATCAGTGTGTCCGACAAATAATGATTTTGTGGTGAAGGCGTACGGTTGGACCTCAACATCAGCCCTTGTTATCTGGAAAGTGATGAAGAAGATGATGAAGATGACTTTTAAGATGACGAAAATGGTGATGAAGATGATGAAAGAAGATTATGAAAAAGATTATTTATTCTGCAGGATCATTAATGAAAATAATTTTTTAATTCCAGTCTCCATTACATTCCATCCCCCGACATGACACAGATAGCAACAACAGTGGTGACCTTGTTAATAAAGCTAGACTTCCCAACATTGGGGAAGCCACAGAGAAGGATCGTTCTCGTGTTCGGGTCGATGGAGGGCAAACGGGCCAAGTGTTGGCGCACCTGACATGAGGGAGATAACATTTAAAGAGATGACATTAAAGAGAGATAACATTAAGAAAAATAACATTAAAAATATGAATTAGCATGAGAAAAAAATTTAGAAAGATAACATGAAAAGAGGGATAATGTTGAAAATATCTAAGAAAATATCAAAAACATGAAAACTGAACATTTAAATAGAAAAAGATTGACAGTTAAAATGATAACAAAAAAGGAAAAAAATCCTCCAACATGTTCCAAGTATGACAGGCTCTGAGCTTGCTTCTTCATTATTGTGCAGAACCTTCCAAGAGCTGCTATTTTCAACCTTTTACATCTGAACAGTGAGTCTGCATACTTAATACTTTTTACATACTGCTTGGCAACACTGAAAATTTCAAATTTATAATGATCAGACCATTTAAAAAAATAATAAAATTAACATCATTATTATTGTCGTTGTTATATAATTATAACAAGATCTGAAAAAACACCACATATCTTGAGAAAGAAAATACGGAAAATTTAAAATTCTCAATATTTTCTGGAGTCAAATGAAAAACATCAGACTCTAGTTTTTCTAAAAATTCTCAGATTTTGATACTAGTGTTATATTATTGTGTAATTGATCATTTTTTTAATTTTTTTGTAAATGCAATAAATTATTAAAATTTATAAATTTTATATCATATCATGAATAATCAATTCGAACAAAACAAACACACAAAACGGAGAAAATGAAAAATCTACAAATAAATAAATAGCCCAACACCAACTTATCAATTAGATGCATAGCCATGTTGATCTGTCCAAGGGCAAGTTTGAAATGGTCCTTGTCATACAGCACATTCATCAGGTCAGCATAGAAAGGATGTATATCCTGAATTCACATTTTCAAGCAATTATTATTAACATGGATTCACCTTGGCAACACTTTTTTCAATTTTAATTCATCTCTCAATAAAAAGCAGTTTGTTTGGAATTATCAATAGTAACATCAAAATTCATGAAAGTTAGTAAAATTTCATTACAAAAAATTTAACTAACATCTAATTTAGGAAAATCGGACAAGATAAGGGATAACTTATCATGGAAGGCTTGCTGGGCGAACTTTATTTTCCTGCAGTAGAACTGCCTGATCCTGCCTATTTGGTAGTGTCGGTGGATGACTGTCGGCGTCTTCCGTTGTGTTTTCGACAGCACGATGTCGATGAAATCCTTCGAGACGATAAGGACATAAGATTCGAGACATAAATATAAATTTTTATCATAAACTGACATAGCGATAATGCAAGAAATACAGTTTAAATGGAAAAATTTACCTTGGAAGTGGGCACCACAGTTATTTTTTTGAAATTATAATGAGACATTTCGGTTCGATCGTATCACAATCGATGGAAAATAAATTTTATAATTAATTAATATAAATATCAGAGGCAAAAAAAACATTCGATGAAAACATGTGCGAAGGTAACGATCGGAAGTTTACATAAACATTACAGCGTTCTTCGTTTGCCACCAGCTCACGTGGATATAAATATATATATTAAAGATATATATCCATGAATATATTTACATGCGAACATATTATACCCCCATCTACAATATAATTCATATATATCCATATATATAGAATATAAACTCTCTCTCTATATATATATGTAGATATATATATACTCTCTCTCTCTATATATATATATCATTCCACGTCCATGATTCACATCACATATACAAATAGAATAATATGTATCAAACGAATGAAAAAAATTTCATTGGCAGAATCGTACGAGTTCACGGCCTAACAGCAGCGTTCTTGTTATAGACGTACCAAAAAATAATTAAATTACAATTTTAAATAATTCTAAGTTATAAAATACAAGTTAAAAGAGATGATTGAATAAAATGAACTGAAGATCGATTAACATCTTAACAAGTTCGCTCGTATCATGCAAACGACACGAATGAAATAAAACTGATATGCTGACAGTCTTAGCATATTTTAAAATATAACAACAAAAATTACATCTCATAGATTCAAATATCCTAGATGTACCATATAAGGATAGCAGAGAAATAAAAATTTAAGCAACCAGTCTTAACAATACTGCCAGAAAATTTGAAACCAAATGAATTCCCTAATTCATAAAAATATTACAAAAGCAGTAAGAAAAATGGAATATATAAATCTAGATGAATTCAATCCCTTCATATTTTAATTCACCTATTTTAAATTCTTTCATCAAATTAGTGCCATCAATTCTATAGGCCACAATATATGAAGCAATCTTGCCCTTATCTTCTTCGGATTTCAGTGCAATGATTACAGAATCTTTGGTACCAGGGACAAATTTGAAAGATGAAAATCCTCTTGTGTTGTGTTGAGGTCCGAGGTGTGACATTTCAATAGAATAGAAGTCCTCATCTGACCTGAACAGAATATTTGTGGCCCTCTGCTCATCGTCCTCCTCTGTGTAGACTTCCCTGCTGGCTCTCCTTGGCAGGAAGAACCACTGATTGTAGACGGCACTCCAGCTGACGGCCTCATGGATCAGGTAGCCTGTTCAGAGGTGTGGTGGTGTAATTTTAATTGGAAGTTCATGCAACTTTAAAACTTGAGCAATTTCAAAACTCAATTCTTAAGCTAGAAGCAGGTGGTTATTTTGAATTTTGATAACAGTTATAGATAAAAATTATAACAATAAATTATATAATGAATAAATAATAATAAATAAAGAACACAAACCAGGCAGTTCAAATCCACCAAACTTTCTCAACTTATTGTAGACATCAACCCAGTTGTGGTGTTGCACATCCCCCAGGTAGCCCACACTTTTGGTCCACTGTGGATTCAAATTCTCAACAACACCCTTTGTTGATGTCCACTCCTTTCCCAATCCACCAACCCACATAATCTCATCTTTAACCGTCATCCACTCACATTTGAAACCTTTTTATTCAAATAAATTACAAAAAATTTAATATTATCTTGGCTTTGAAACAGATTAATTTTTCATCAAAATAATAGAAACCTTTGCTAAGATGACCATTCCCATCATTTAGAACTGCAAAAGGTACAACCCTGTTGTCCTGAGTGATTTCAAAAACCATACCCGTCCTATCATCACATGTGTAGAGTTTGCCATTGAACACAACCAGGTCGGAAAGTTCCATGGCTCGACCCTTCAAACTCAAATCGGAATGTAGCAGTAAGTCTTGTTCATCCAATTTCACATCAACTTTTGAATGTTCCTTGTTAATAGTCAGCCAACCTTTCCTCATGTGACTAACCCAAGAACCATCCGATTGTTTTGAGCTGGTGTCCAAGTCGGATATGATGGCAATCCTAAATGATATATCCCCATTTAGTGAATACACTGGGGATGTAAGTGGATACGTGCTGTTGTATTTATTAGTGGCAGCTCTGTAATACATTCGTGTGCATTGTTGATCATTGATTGTTGAGCCCTTGTATGAAACTAATATGAGAACAATTCCAGTAAGAACAAGTAACATGATGACGAGACACTGTAAGACACGGTAGGCATTGATTGAGAACGATCGATTGATTCGGTAGGGTGTCGGTGCAGTCACTATTCGCATCCAATCACTCATGCGGTAAGCCAGATCAGACTCACGACTTTTAGAAAAAATTCCTGACATTATTTTTTGAGTCTGACATTTTTATTTCATTAATTTATTATTATTATTTGTTAATCATCATGATCATATCAACATGCAACTTAATTTTTATTACGATTTATTAAACTTTGTTTCTGATAAAAAGCAGACGTCTGCTGCAGTTTTAGAAGCAGAACTTAATATTAGAAGAGAGAGTTAGAACTTTGCATCTTGTGACTCGGAAGACAGACACACACGTAAATTATTTTGGTAAACTGATCGTCGTAAAACTTTAAAAGTATAAAAATTATAAAATCAGATTACGAAAAAAAAGAGAAACGGCCAGATAAACACTAAAATTAGTCAGAAACAGACGTGTACAGTAAACCAAAAACTAGAGGGATCGATTAAAAGTTAACTTAATTACACGTCACCAGCGACAACCATATACTTAGAATCATGTATATAGAATACCAATAACTATTTATAAAAAAATATTATGATTTAAAGCTCTATGGTTTAATATTTCTCATCTCAAATATAGAGTTTTTTGTTTTTCACCCGTAAAAAAAAAATAAAATTTTATTGACAAATTATTGTTATTAAATGCATATTTTATATCTGTTGTTTTCTCCTTTTCTTATATCAATTAAACTTTCATATTTAATTATTGTTTAATAAATATTAGCGTGTTTAATTTATGGCAAAATTATTTTAACTTCTAAAAAACTTTTCACAAAAGGTCATCCATTTATTTCAAAACTTATTTCGAAGATGAATTCGATTGAGTTGAAATCTCACCTCATCTTATCTCAAACTACCAGACTCATGAGAGTTTAAAAAAATCATTCAGCTCTATATTTATTTCATTTTGATAGTTTTAAATTTTCAGAGGAAAACAGCCATTATAAGTTTTATATCAATGAAACACCACAACACCAATAACAAATATAAGGAATTAAGCGATAGATCAATCAAGCATTATCATTTTAATGTTTAAAATGAAAGATACGTTTAGTTGGGGAAGTCTATATAGCCTTCATACAGCTATCATATATATATAAAAAATGTATGTGTGTGTATAGTTAGAAAATCTTTCACTTTCCCAAATCATTCCTGTACATCTTCCTCTTGATGACGTCATCGTCGTTGAAGGGCGTCTTCCTGTCAATTTCCTCGAACTCAGCAATGTCATCATTCCTCGCATACCTCCCAGATTATAATTAAATCAGTTAATTAATTGATTAACCCCCAATCAATTTATTGATCAATCAGATTAATTTAATCGATGTTAATGTTAATGAATTTGTTTCAATTTGATGATGACGCGAGTATATGAAACGAGAAGAACGTACTTGGGATGGCTTGAAAATTCGTAATCAAACATGGATCTTTTGCCCTGTGTGTGTGTGTGTGTGTGTGTGTGTGTGTGTGTGTGTGTGTGTGTGTGTGTGAAGAGACATATGAATGAGAGTGTGGCAAGAGTAGCAAACATCCCTCAACACATTCATATGTGCGTGCATTAAATACTAAATAATGCACTGCGCTCAAATTTGTTACGACTCAAGCATCTTTTATTGCACACGCACAAAGACAGGCAGGCAGACAAAGAGACAAAGACAGATGGACAAACAGACAGACTATAGACCGAAAAGAAGAAAGAGAAAGAGACGCAGGCATTTACATGAGCGAGAAATCTGTAAGATTCTGGCAAGACAAGTTTATTATACGTGCAATAAAATGCTCCCACAACAACAATTACAACATCAACAACATTCTAGAGATAGTGATGATGAGAAAGAGAGAGGTTCGAGAAGGGAGGAAGGAAGGGAAGGAGGAATGGAAAAAAAGAGAAAGACGGGCAAGAAATTTAAAGAATGAAAAATGTAAAGTTGTCAAGTAGGAGAAACAAATAAAACGAGATTGAAAGAAAAAGAAAACAAATGAAGGAGAAAGAGAGAGAGAGAGAGGATATAGAATGTGTGTATAGGATAGATGGAGTGAGAGGGGTAAGAATTGTTATCAATCATAAGGAGAGGTAGTATGAAAATTCAATTTTAAAATCTTTGCTCGGTCGTCTGCAGGCCACGGAATGAAAAATGAACGAGTGCGTGTGTGTCTGTGTGTGTGTGTGTGTCTGTGTGTATGTTCCTCAAATTAAATGAGGGAAAGATGGATGGATGGAAAGAAATGAAATGATGTACAAACTGCCGTGCCGAATGAATGAATGAAAGAATGAAAGAAAGATTAATGGAAGGATGGATGACGGGACGTAGGTTGAATGTGAATGAATCAATGTATGGATAAATGGATTAACAAAAGAATGAACGATTGAGACAACAAATGAATGAGAGTAAGAATGTAACGAAAGAAAATGAAAGAAAAAGAGACGGTGAGAAGAGAGAGAGAGGGAGGGAGGAGAGAAAGATAGAGACGAAAAGAGATTTTGTGTTGGAATAATATTTACGATGAAATAAAACAGACGGTTCATCCCTGAATTGCCGGGTGACGTCATATGACGTCATGTGCGCTGCTAATATTTCCTTTTGTTTTCGTGCCATTTATCAAATTTTGAAGTCTCATTCCAATTTTAAAAAGTTGTTTATTAGTTGTTTATTTCTGCATGCATTAATGCATGTATGTGAGTATGTGTGTGTAAGGTTGTGGGTGTATATATGCATGCGCGTTTTTATGTTTATATATGTATTTATATGTTTGCTTGTTCGTTTGTCTGTCTGTCTGTTTGTATGTATGTATGTTTGTTGCTTGTTTGTAGGTATGTTTGTTGTTTATATACATGCATTTGGCTGTTGTGTGATGGAGCACGATGAGTAACCTTCATCTTATCCTCTTATTCACTTTCTCCTTGTGTGTCCCACTTAACCAACATGTGTGACGTGTGTGTGTGTGTGTGTGTGCTGTATTTTATGTATGTGCTTTAACTGCGCTTTTATTTCTATTGTATTTAAAAACACTGAATAAACCTGATCAAGAAATGAAATAAATGAAATCTCGGTCCAACCATATCGGTCCTAAATTTGGTTCTCCTGTTGAGCGATCGGTGAACGGGACTCCACGAAGCATCCCTCGACACACGAGACTCGCCGGTAGCTGGCCCACTGAGAGGGCCCTCACTGCTACCCGCCTGCACACTACCCAGTTGAGAGCAGCAGAAGATCGTAATGACCAGACTGAAGAGAAGGAGGCAGGTCATTTTGCTGCTGCTGCTGTGGCTGCTGCTGTGGCTGCTTGTGACGTTTTTGAAAGTGGGAGCCATTGTTATTTCTGACGATGTGGCGATGATGATGATGATTTTGATGATGACGACGATGATGGTGATGTCACCACAAAATCAAAAATCAGTGATGACTTGATGAAAATACGAAAGAGTTAGAGAATCGGTTTGTTTTGTATACATGCATGGTATGTATATGTATGTATGTATGTATGTATGTACATATATATATATATGTGTGTGTGTTTGTGTGTGTGTGTGGAACGCATGCCAGAAATCTAGATACATCAATGATCGATCGGACAAGGCTTGCTTATTTAAACTACAATAACGTCACTTCATACTCCGCCTCATCATCATCATCTTCTTCGTCATCATCCTTATCTTCATCATCATCATTTACACGTGCGTCAAAACACACACACGCACACAAACAAACACATCTTGAGGTATGTAAAATTCTCAACCGATATAGATGACGACGATGAAGATGACGATGATGATAGTAATGGTAATGAGGAGGTTATGCACGGTGTAGATAGGACAATAAATTAAAGGATTTGAACGCTCACTGGATTCATTGTCAGTTTATTCATGATACACTGAACAATTTTATCAATTTTATCCGGCTCTCTCTCTCTTTCTCTCTCTCTCTCTCTCTCTCTCTCTCTCTCTCTCTCTCTCTCTCTGTGTATGTGTTTCATCAGGTACTAGACGCAGAACAAAACGACGATTGAAAAACTGAAAAACTCACAAACGCCTTAAACATCAACAACAACATGCACCAATGATTAAACGACATCAACAACAACATCAGCAACATCAACTGTAACAACAACAACACCACCAGCAACTTCAACAACAACTTCAACAACAACATCAACAACAACATCAACATCAACAACAACATCAACAACAACAAAAAGCACCGAAGAAAGTTCCATGCGCGGACGATGCAAAGTGATTGAACGATGCAACAGACACATTAGTCGATGGAGAACTTCAACAAAGAACTCTAATGTATGGCAAGCCGAAGTAGAAAAAATAAATAAATGCTTAGGTATGAATAAATAAATAAATGTCTATGGGTAAACACGCACATATACATACGCATGTATGTGTGTACGCGCGTGTGTGTAATGTCTCTCTATCTCTCTCTCTCTTTCTCTCCCCCTCTCTCAATTTCTCTCTCTCTTTTTCTTTTTCTTTCTCTCTCTCTCTCTTTCTCTCTCTCTCTCTCTATATATATTTTTTTTGATTTTTCTCACAAAAGACTTTTCGAGAACGTTCAGTTTATTAAAATTCAACATAGACTTTTTTTCGAATTCATGCTGCATCAATCAATATATGTAATATGTGTTTTGAATGTGTAAATAATTTGCAGAACTTTTCTAGCTAAGAATCATAATGATGATGACGATGATGATGACGATGATGTGACGTAAGTTCAGTCGGTACTGAAGGTCAAACTTGAGGTCATTACGCATCAAATTACACCGTACATGCACATTGTTATCATTATTATTATTATTGTTGTTGTTGTTGTTGTTGTTGTTTAAATCTTCATTTTATTTTAATTGCACTTATTAACTTTCTGCTCCTTTTTAGCGCCCGCGCGTTTAAGAAGTGTGGAAATTGAAATATCACCACGAATATAACTTTATTGTTTATTATTATTTATTATTAATATTTATTATTTATATTATTTATTATTATAAGCTATTATTATTATAACGATAATAAATATTATCTGTATTAGTTTATCGTCACTTTTTGATACAAGATGGTTGGTTTATAAGAAATAACATTTGCCGAGAGATATAACAAAAATATTAAGAATAAAAACCATAAAAATACTAATAACAATAAAATAATAATTATAAATAAGAATAATAACAATATAATAGCAATTAAAGTATGTTTGTGAGTAATTAATATTCGGTGCGTGAATGGATCGGGCTGGAGTTTGATGAAGTGCCCGACTATTTGCTTTTGTTTGCTTTCCTTTGTTTTTAAAGTATGTGGTGTTTGTTTGTATGTGTGTGTGCGTGTGTGTGTGCTGGCGTGTTTGTAAGCGTTCTCTTGAGGAAGTTTGTTTGAATAATAAACGACTCTCAAATTGACCAATATATATGGATGTTTGATGCCAACTATTTTGATTTGAAGACAAACACACACACACACACACACAGACACACACACAGAGACAGAGACACACGCAAAAACTCCCACACATACACAGAGGTTGCTTCATAGGTACGTTTTTATTTTTTGCATTTTGTTGGCGGCTGTTGTCCATGTCAAAACATTGAATTTTCAAATTTAAATATCTTAATTCAATTGTTTTCTGGTTGCATTTGCATTCTTTTGTGCGTGTGTGCGTGCGTGCGTGCGTGCGTGTGTGTGTGTGTGTGTGTGTGTGTGCGTTTGCATTTGTTTGTATGTGCGGTCGGTTGTATGCGTACCTGTGTTATTGGCATACAGCGTTTTTTATATTAAAATTTTTCAGTTGATGATGAAGTTGTTGTTGTTGTTGTTGTTGTTGTTGTTGTGATGATGATAATGTTGTAAAGATGTTGTTGTTGCTGTTGATGATGTTTTTAAAATGCGATGCGATGATCGTGACGTCATTTTGTTGTTGGAAATTAATTTCAATTGTCAAACATCTCATGAAAGGAATGATGTCTACTTCGTTTCAGGAAGTACAAACGAATGAAAGATTGAATGAATGAGTGAACAAATGAATGAACGAATTAATGAACAGACAAACGAACGAATAAATTAATTGAAGATATTTGAATGATTGAACAAACAAAAATTAAACTTTAAAAATTCTGAAAATTAAACAAAATGAACATGCAGGTGAACGAACAAACAATGAACAAACAAGTGAACGAACGGGTGAACGAACCTTTTGATAACTTTCAAACGGTTCGTCCTTCCCTCTTCCAAATGTGAGAAAGAGGTAGAAATAGGGATGGATGGAGAGATGAAAAGCGAGGAAGATAATGAAGTTGAGAAAGAGAGAGAGGGAGGAAGATGAAATACAATGGAAATCTATCAATTTAAGTATTCAAAAATACAATAGAATCGAATAAATTCGAATAGAATCGAGTAAATTCGAATAGAATCGAGTAAATTCGTATAGAATGCAATGAAATCCTATCTAATTACCGATACGACATCAAATTGAGAAATTGAGATGAAATTTTTAAAAACTTATAAATAAAATCCTATTTAACCTTAGTAGAATTCTTTGAAAGAGTGAATGAGTGAATCAAAATTTCTTTTATCTAGCAGTTCTTTTCTTTCTATCCTGAATAAATGATTGTTTGACAAATAAGATGAATGAATGAATGAATGAATGAATAGAACGAATTAAAACAAATATATCAATCAAATAAAATTATAGATGAAATAACTGAAAATTAATTAATTTTCAATTTTCAATACGGTGAAATAATCTCGAGATGAAACGCCTAACGTGATTGGTTGGTCGCAAGTGGTCTTCAGCCAATCACAGAGCTTTATATAGGGCTTTAAAACATCACTATCGCAATCCCTATATTATATATAAATTTGAAGGAACTATATAGATGCATGTGTACATATATGACACATAAGTACATTATATATATATATATATATATATATATATATATATACACACTCTTTTGCATTATCAAAGTATAGGGTTTCATTTAGATAAAAAAATTATTTCTAAAATGCATTTTATTTCAAGTTTTTTTTTTGCAATAGTACTAATCACAATAAAATCAACACCACCTATCATCACTACTACTACTACTACTACTACTACTACTACTACTACTACTACTACTACTACTTCTACTACTTCTACCACTACTACTACTACTACTACTACCACTACTACTACCACTACTACTACTACTACTACTACTACTACTACTACTACTACTACTTCTACCACTACTACTACTACTACTACCACTACTACTACTACTACTACTACCACTACTACTACTACTACTACCACCACCACTACTACTACTACTACTACTACTACTACTACTACCCCTACCACTACTACTACTAAAAACAATACCACTACTACTACTACTAAAAACAATAACAACAATAGCATATGTAAAAAATAGTTGGGATTATGATGATGATGTTAGTTAAGTGGTAGAGTAAGAAGTTTGGGGAATCCTTTTTTGAATGTTTTGAATGAAAAATTAGTTTTGTTAGTCGTTTTGTAGTATTTGCCGTTCGTTCGTTCGTTCGTTTGTTCGTATATATATGCTCGCTCGATCGTTCGTTTGTTTGTTTTTTTATATGTTCGTTTGTGCATCTTCTTTTGATATCTTGGCCTCATTTTTGGAAGGAACAAAACGTAGGAGGGGAACAACATGAAAAGATTAACATTATAGTTGTTTCATCATCATAAATATTATTATTATTATTATCATTACTATTATTGTTGTTGATGTTGTTGTTATTAATGTTATGCAATTTTTTTTTCTTGTTTTTGAACGTCACACGTTCAGTCGTCAATGCCAAATAGTTCCTCCTTGACTGAAGGCTAATTCCAGAATTTGGCTTATTTGTCATCGTTTGTTGGCATCATCTTAAAAGGCAACACAGGCAGTAGGTGTTGATGATGATGATTATGATGTTGTTGTCTAGATGGTGATAATGATGATGTTACTGACTTGATGGTGGTGATGATGATGATGTTGCTGACTTGATGGTGGTGATGATGATGATGATGACGTTGTTGTCTTGATGATGATGATGACGACGTTGACGCTGGTATCTGGCTTATTTTGTTTCTTTTTTCAAATTTGATTGTATATGGTTAATTGTTAACTGATGTACTGTTAATAATAATAATAATAATAATAATAATAACAACAACAATAATAATAACAACAACAATAATAATAATAATAATCATCATCATCATTATCGTCGTCGTCGTCGTCAACATCACCAAAATCCTGATTACATTTTTTACGTACCACGTGACTCCCTTTAATTAAATTCTCTAAATCATCTTCATATTGGGCGCTATAAAAATCTTCAATTAACATCATCGTCATCATCACCATCATCGTCATCGTCGTCACCATCATCATTATTTATAGATATAATACTGATAGGATATACAATCATTTTGTGATCGTCGTCATTATCATCAACACTACCAATCAATAAGCTTATATGAAGAAATTGTAAAGAATGAGCGAATGAATGAATAAATGGATAGAATGATAGTGGAATGAATAAACGAATGAGTGAATGAATGATTAGATAAATACATACATAAATAAACAAATAAATACCAAAACTATAACTCAATAAACGATATATTAATTTATCTATTTGACAACTTGATTTCAGATAAATGAACGAATTAAAATGACAGTCTAGCATTTGCGAATAAATTTCTCAAAAATTTTCTGCCAAAAATATTGCACTAAAAACATTTTTTAACGAGAGATGGCAAAAGCAACACAAAATTACTATAATTAATTTTACTTAGCCATCCCTGAATTAATTAAACAGCTGATCAAATAATCAATAAGAGGGCGGAGCCTGTTTCGAAAAGTGAATCGCAGAAAGAAAAATTGTTAGATCGGTGAAATTGATGAATTAGTGAAGTCCTAACTCTGTCCCCAGTTGCAAAATTTCGATGAATTTGCAGGATGTCAAACATGAAACGGACCAGCCGGCAAATCAACTCAAATACGTCAACTTTAACGGAGATTACACGTTAATAATTTATTTCTTTGTCTTGGCTATTTTTTCCCAATTCAAAAAATAAATAAAATAAACGAACTAAACGACAAATATTTTATTTATGTTAATTAATTAAAAAATAAAAATTGATTTTCTAAAATTTTCATTATAATTATCTCATATACTCATACTTTATTTTGTGCTGTCTTTGATTTGAACTGAAGTTTATTCTCCTGATTGTTTCTGCTTTTGTTAGGTTCTTTCATCATCACTGTCATCATCATTGTCATTATCATTTTAGATTTATAATCTTCTTCATCATCATTCTCATCAGGAATGAAATTTGATAATAAAATTGAATAAAATTTGTTGTCTGGATGGATTGTGTGGATGGATTGTGTGGATGGATTGTAAAGATAGGTTATTGTATGGATGGATTATAAATATGGATTGTAAGGATGTATTGTAATGATGGATTGTAATGGACAAATTGTCTACAGGTCGCTGTTGACAGGCCGCAATGGAGATTACAACATTTACACGTTGGCCAACATCAGCAAGTCCCTGCCATTGCTCTATACATTTCGTTCGTTTCATTTTTATTGTTTTTTTCAAATCTTACATGTACCCACCTATTAAAATTACACATATATTATATCATATATATATATATAAGCATATATATATATATATATATAAGCATATATATATATATATATATATATATATATATATATATATATATGCTTGTGTTTGTCACAAGATTTTTGCTACCAAATGTTGTTAGACAATGAAAAGTAAATTCAAATGAAAAAAATTATTATTTATAATTTTTATAGCGAGCAATGATGAGGTGATATTAGTTGAGAGATTGCTTTCAACTAGTCTGATAGTTTTTGTGACGGCCAGCCAGCCTTCGAGATTAGTGTTGCATCATTTTAGGAATCAGAAGGAGGTGTGCACCTATAACTTCCCCACCAACATTCTTGCTGTCAAACTCAACAAATCAGTAATTTCCCATTTTTTCATTATATTTTTTAGGCCCACTTTTGTTTTATTGATTTTTGACATGTTTTTTCTATTATCACCCGAGTTACTAAATTATGTTTTTAATGGTTATTTGAAAAAAAAATTTTAAAGTTTAAAGTTAAAGACATTTTCATCACACCGTTGCCAGTGTTTTGTGGTTTGTTTGGAGGACAGCATCAGCATACACAGCATTCGAGACCTGAGGACCTTGCACGTGATCAGGGATGTACCTTTAAACACGCACATCACCTGCACACTCAGTCCCAACTCTCCGACGAATTGTTTTGTCGCCTACCCTGCCAGCAATCACTCCGGGGAGGTGGCCATCTTCGATGCAGAGAATCTTGTTGGTGCTTGCTCTCTTCAGTCATAATCTCATTCACTTTTAATCTATTTGAAACTACAAATAAATAAATTTTAAATCGGTGCAAAAATAATGTCCATTTTGTGTTGCCTAATTTTTCGTAAATGTTTAAATGGAAGATAGTAGAGACTGTTTGGATTGATTCGTCATAATTTTTTAAAACCTAGTCAAACAATCAATGAAAAAATTTACTGTTTACAAAATGATAAGGTGCACCAAAAATCAATCAGTCAACTGCACCCAGAGTGTTGAACAACACCAAGAGTCTACCTCAACGACAGATTGCACGTCACATGGCAGACATTTAAAACCTTAACACGCTTGTCTTACGAGGTTCTGCTTTGCCGAACTTTTATGCCACTGCCAACGATGAACTTATTTCTCGTTGGCAGGTGAGCGTAGATTGCAGCAATGGTTTCTATTTTGATTGAATGTCTATATTCTAGTAGAGCCCCGTTCTTTGCATTTTTAAAATGGGCGGTTCGAAGGGGACATTATTTTTGCAGCAGCATCCTTCCTTTTGTAGTTTGTAATTAATTTCGCGCGCCCGCCACCAACGCAGAGGCCCGTGTGGTCCATCGACGCCCACGACACCGTCATAGCAGCCATGGCCTTTTCATACGATGGACTCCTATTGGCTACTGCTTCTGTCAAAGTACTCTTCACAATTATTTATCACTCAACTAATGATGCGTTCGTTCGTTCGCTCCATTTTCATTTGTCCATCGGCACGTTCACAACATTTTCACCGGCCGGCTCATTCGATGCATTACAGACTAACTACCGAACGACTGACGACTCCATTTAATGATCATCATTCATTCATTCCATCAACTTCATAATTCGTGCAGGGGACGGTGATTCGAGTGTTCTCGGTTGCGAGCAGGTCGAAAGTGTTTGAGTTCAGGAGGAGCATGAAGAGGTTCGTCGTCACGGGCCGTGTCAAAATTTGAGCAGAGTTTATTTCATAGATGTTTGTTGTGCGTGCATTTTAGAAATTTGCACTATATAAATACATTTCCTTGATTGACTGATTAATGAGAATGAGAGATGAATGGTTGAAATCACGAAGGTGTGCCACTGTGTACTCGTTGGCATTCAGCAAGGATGGCAAGTTTTTGTGTTGTTCCAGCAGTACCGAAACTGTTCACATCTTCAAGATCGACCTCCAGAAATTGAAGTTCGTTGATTGGTTCATTTTCTTGTTGAACGGTTGACTGATTAGTTGATTGATGGATGGATGGATGGATGGATGGATGGATGGATGGATGGATGGATGGATGGATGGTGGATGGATGGTGGATGGATGGGCTGATTGATTGTTGAACTTTTAGTTATGCTATCATTGCCATCTTCACTAACACACACACTCATCAGCGCAATGAACCAAGAGGTTCCGTCAAACGAGAATCAAGGATGGATGGATTATTTAGGTCAGGCCATCAAATCCTCAACGACCTACTTACCGGCGCAAGTCACGGAAGTGTTGAGTCAAGAGAGGGGCTTTGCAGTGGCCCGTCTGCCTTCTTCTTGTAGCAGCTTCACAGCAACTGCTACAGCATCGTTATCATCATCTCCAGCCAATACGGCTGCTGTTGCTTCATCACCAACTGCTGCAGCTGCTTGTAGTGCTGCTGTTGCTGGTGGTGGTGGTAGAAATGTTTGCGGCATTACAAGGTTAGTTTGTTTCTGAACGTAAAAAGTAATCAATCCCATTCCTTTCACTCATCTTATTAACTCATCTGTGCGTCCAGTATTGAAGGTGGTACGTACGTGATGATAGTTCAACAGAACGCTGAAATGCTGGTTTACAATGTTGATGTCGTCAATGGAGGAGAATGCAATATTGTTGCTCAATATAGGTTGGATGGTTGGTTGACTGGCTGGTTGGATGGTTGGATGGCTGGCTGGTTGGATGGCTGGCTGGCTGGTTGGTTGGATGGCTGGCTGGTTGGTTGGTTGTATGGCTGGTTGGATGGCTGGCTGGTTGGATAGCTGGCTGGCTGGCTGGCTGGTTGTATGGCTGGCTGGTTGGATAGCTGGCTGGTTGGTTGGTTGGATGGCTGGCTGGCTGGTTGTATGGCTGGCTGGTTGGTTGGATGGTTGGTTGGATGGTTGGTTGGTTGGCTGGTTGTATGGCTGGCTGGCTGGTTGTATGGCTGGTTGGCTGTTCCATGATGATGTTTTCAGGCGCGACGTCACTTTCAAGTTGTGATGCATATTTGTGGCGCTATTTTTGCATACATGTTAATTGTACATTCTGTCACATGATTACTTGCTTAATTTCAATCAAATTATCTGCAATAACACTTTTTTGAAGCTTGAATATCTCAGGGATTCCATTTCACCACCACCACCATCTCCCCCCTCCTCCCCCTCCTCTCCATCATCATCATCAGCCTCCAGTCCCTCGATCAGTCCAACCGCCACCATCCTCATCTGTACCGTCGTCGTTGTCATCATCAACTCAGGAACAACCATCACCAGCACCTCCCTCATCATCATCATCATCTTCCATCGACCAAGATACCACGCCCACCGACTGTCACTCACCTTTGAACGACCTTGAGTGGATGAAGGTCAAGAAACTTCCGCGCGCCAACACATCCCCACAATGGAGTCCTTGCAGGCGGTCTTATGCCAGTGTTGTCAACAGCCAGGACAGTGGAGATATGCGAGGAGATGGTGCGTGCAGGAATGTGCGTGGCGATGGTGCGTGCAGAGACGGCAGTGGATGTTGTCGTAGCGGCGATTGCAGCCCCATTGAGGTAGCCTCACCATCCACATCTTCCTCATCTGGATCATCATCATCTTCTGCATCTTCATCATCGTTAGCTTCGTCGTCACTTCAGCCACCATCTCAAATTAGATCTGATCTGCAGCCACCACAGCGACTGCAGCCAACTAAGCAGCAGCAGCAACAATTGCAGCCAAAAAAGCAACCACAGCAGCCACAAAACATTTACTACCAACAACATCAGAACCAGATGTTGAAATTCGAAGGTGAATTGGTCCTTAGGGATGCGATTGTGTCCATCGAAGGTGGTGCTCCTGATGACGATGATGATGGTGGTGATGATAGTGATTATGATGATAAAAATGATGTAAGTGACCAATGGTCGAATCATAAATAGCTAAATAATTAACTAGATTAATGAACTAACTGATAAATTATTTCTAACCCCCTCCCCAACATGAAGACCTCTACATGGACGCCGAGTGTGGCTGGCTGGAAGACAGTTCCGAGTTTCCTTCCATCATCAAAAAAAAGTAAAACACTTGGCAAACATGGGGTGAACACTTGGCGAACATTTGCGGTGAACATGGCAAACCGGCCATTCAAATAAACATTACTGCAAATAATAACATTCTTCAGCTATCAGTATCATAATGCTTCCTTACTACAACTACTACTACTACTACAGCAATAACTACTACTACTGCTACTACTACAACAACAACTACTTCTACTACTACCAAAACGCAACAAATAAGTGATTCATCGCCATTGTAATTACTGAGCACTATGATATTGATTCTAAAGTAACTTCTTCTGAAGTTATATAATAGTTATTTTTATAGTCGTCGTTGTAGTAGTAGTAATATTAGTAGTTGTAGTAGCAGCTGTAGTAGTATTAGAAGTAGTAGTAGTGGCAGCTGTAGTAGAAGCAGCGGCTGCAGTAGTAGTAGTAGTAGTAATATCATGTTCCTTTCGTATCACGTTCTTCATCCAGCATCTATCTATCTACCTACCATATTTAATTCATTACAATTTTATGACGCAACAACATGATGTTTCATCATCATCGTCATCATCATTATCATTATTATAATTATTTATAATTATTTATAATTATTACGCCATATAAAGTGATGAAGTCGTCGCCATTTCAAATTTATTATTATCATTCTTCCAATGTTATTGCTGTCGGTGATTTTATTGTCACTGACCTTTAATAATTATGTCTCGTCATAAACATACTCAGAAAATATTAGTTGTATAGATTAGATATATGTGTTCTCCCTCTCTTTCTCTCTCTCGCTTTTTCTCTATATATAATGATAGAAAGAGAGAGACTTTGTTTCAGTGGAATTAATTTTCCATTATTAAATTGTAATTCATATCTTAATTCGAAATAGCACGATGACGATGAGTGAGTCTTTTATTATCTCATCAGATATTATTACACACACACATACGTACACACATACATAAGTACACAAATACATACACACATACATGAATATATACATATTTGCTTCGTTTCTTTTGTTATATGACGTTATGTTGGATCATGTTTATTCACACTTTAACGTATTCATCATCATCGCCATTTTAATCACCATCATCATCATCTTATTCATCACCATCATCTCTTTGTAGCTTTACTGTGTTTTATTAAATGTATTTGACGTGTTTCTACGTTCACATTGTTGCATCACATTTCTCAAGCTTTAATCCAAGTTAAATTTAAATACATTGGTTGGTAGGAATATACGCATATATATTGAAAAATGTCACACACATGTACAAGCACACATACACACACGTACACATACACACCACACACATTTATATATTCAAACAGCTACATATATAAACACAAAATGATAAAATACTTTCAAAAAGAATGAAAAAAATATAGGATTTTAATCTAGTTTCAATTTTCTTAATGTGCATTCGCTATTTTATGTTCCTCTTCATTTTCATTATTCAGTCTAATTTATTTATACCAAACTATGTATCACTTTTAATATATTAACACGCGTATTGATTCATTAAACTAACACATTTCTCGCGTTTGATATCATCATCAATGATACAAGTGTAGATATATATATGATCAAAGTTTTTAGATATACTTTTAACAAGATACACACTAGAGACGTACCGAATATTCGAAATTTGGATTCGGCCATTTTTAAAGACCGAACAGCCGAATATTAAATATTTTCGTTTAAGCTACCGATCTTTTTCGATTCCAGAACAATAATTCTTGAATGTTATTAGGAAGGAAATTTATTTTTGCCATCATGACTGGTGAAACATCTGAATTTGAACAAGAAATCGATGTAGAAATGCTGGATTGACATAATTCGCTAACAATTTTTAATAGCTTGTATCCATTTGTGAGTTTTTGTCTTTAGTCAAACGGCAGATCAAATATTCGGCTATTCGGTAAAGTTCGCCCCGATACACACAGATATTTTAGTCACAAATTATTATCTATCTAACCACTTATCTACTGTTACGTTGACATTTATTCAAGTTTTTCAAGACAATTTCACGTCAACTTATATCTACTTCATATATATACATACGTTTATACAGATATACCAGCATGTATGTGCTTATAATTAAATGTTTTACTTAAAACAGTGGGTACATTACGTTAAAATATTGTATATCACGATACATCTCTAACATTTTATTACTATATAATTTCTACACATACATACATACTTATATATATATACGTACATACATATATACACAATTATTTTTGTGTTTCAAGAGTTTAGGTTGAACTTAACATTAACTCTGGATTATGCAATTGCAATGTAATAAACACACAACTCTGTGCAAAAATATACCTAACACAAACATTGAAACTAACCAATACAATATGTGTACACACATACACAAACACACACACACACATATATTTATACGTACACCCTTAGTTACAGAGTATTCTTCATACTTACTTAGGAATTATTAATTCTAATGCGGAGAAATAGCCATTTACATTTGGGACTATTCAAATATTCTGGATTTCGCATTGACTGAAATAAAATTAACTAGACATCTCTATTATAGAAATTGTTTATGAAATTTTTATATTAAATGAATTTACTTTATTTCAATTTTTAATAAAAAAAATCATGTCTCCCGGACGATATTATCATCATAAGAAAGAGAAGCACCAACGACAGCAGCAGCAGTGTTTAAAGTTGCTGGGGTGTCGTCAGGTTGTTGCTGAGATGTTGCTGGTTGCTCTTGAGACAAAAAATTGTCGTTGCTGATAACTTGTTGGTTGTTGTCGACCGCAGTAAACGTGTCAGCAACATTTTGTTGCTGATGTTCAGCTGCTGTTGCCGCTGGAAGATGCTGCTGCTGGCTGCTTTCGACAGGCACCAGCATGAGCTTGTCCTTGAAGTTCATTGCCCTCCTCACGGATTCAATATCGATGACGTCGTCTGGTCTCGTCTGCGCCCATTAATTATAATAAATATTTTAATTACTATTAGCATAACAAAATCGTCTGCGTCCATTAATTATAATAAATATTCTAATTGCTATTAGCATGACAAAAGCGAAAAAAACCTGCTCGATCAGTCCCGCTAATTCAGAAAAGACCTTTCGAGCTGCGTTTGATGAAGCAAAAAAGTATTATTACATGATTCATTCATATGCATGATGAATAATTGCATTGCAAAATGTTATCAACAGACACACACACACATCTTCAAAGGATGACATCAACTAATAAGAATTATTATTGTAACTATGCTGACCAACCTATGTCGACTTCATTATCAGTTGGCCTGCAGAATGCGTCAGTTGATCTCTTCCAATGGCTCGAACTCAACGACGCCCTTCGTTTTTCTTCCAGGGTCAGCAGAAGATTCGAAGTCTTGCGTAACTGGTTGTCCTGCTGATTGTTGCCGAGTGGGCCGCTGTCGCTAGGTAGGTTGCAAGTCGCTGGGTTGTTGTCGTTGTCAGTGGTCACCATGTTATAAGCTGTTGCAATGATCTGCATGTTCTGTTGTTGTTGCTGCTGCAGTTGCTGCTGTTGCAGTTGCTGCTGTTTCAGCAATTCCTTCTACGAAAAATTTTAAAAACATTTCAAAATTGGAACAAAACACAGAGTCTCAATCACCATCGCCTTGTGATCATCTTAAAATGTGATTTTGAACAACTGCATGATTGGGATGTGTAATTGGAATGATGATAATGGGATAAAATTGAAATATTAGAAATGGTTAAATTGAAGTAATGACAAAATAGAATGAAGAAAAAAAAAGAGAGAGGGAGTGAGAGAGAGAATAAATAAATGCAAGCCTCTTTGAGGATGGCTTCAGTCTTCATGTGCTCGCCATTTGTGAGGACATCAAGCAAGTTGTCGACCATCATTGTTGCATATTCGCCACATCCAGACACAAACTCTTTCAAGCTGTCGTCATCATCATCATCATCCTCGTCACCATCCTCATAATTATTATCACGTTATGATCACACGAACAACATCAGTTTTAAACATTGAATTGTCATCCGTTATATTTAAATAGATGAATGACGAAAAAAATTGAATGATTTACATCAGTGCTTCGAAAGTGTAGCCCGCAGGCAGAATGACGGACTAACAAAAGTATCAAGAAATTCGTGGGAATTTTTATATTTTTGGTTAGTTACAAAAAGTTTGAACAGAGTTATATTTATTATTAATTCACGTTTTCAAGACAAAACACAAGAACTGCTTGGATATTTGTTCGCCATTCGGTACGGAACTATCTCCAAAAGAACCGCGACTTGAGCCACTAACAAAAAATAAACTCGTTTGCCACATCAATCATACACGAATGAAAGTTTAACCAATCATGGTTGAAAATCTCTCCTATTTACAATTTTTCATCTAAATTTGTTTCACTTTTTAGCATTTGTCAAATGATCAAATTATTAAACTAGAATAAGTTAATTTGTATTAAATATAATGGAGATTGAATGAATGTCGAGACCACCACGCATCAATCGTTGTATCGAGTTTCTGCTAGTGAATATTTAGAACGTGCTCCTACACCTACACCGAATGAACTTCTAATGCCATTCACGTTCTGTTCAAAAAATCAGGTCAGTTCAAAACTGCCTTCTTACGATCACTGCCTCCGAAGCCAGTTCTTCCAACGGTGGCTCCTGCTAATCGCATTAGAATTCACGGCGGGTGGACAGATAAGTTTGAGAAGCACTGATCTATACCAAAAAACAAATGAACGTTAACAGAAAACAAGACGAATAGAGAAGAGTAGCAGGAGCAACTGAGCAGACTCACACCTCTTTGCGTACTGAACGCCAGTTTCGTCAGCGTAAGTTGCGAGCAGCAAGTTCGTCGTCTCCTTATCGACATTGGCGTTTGAGCTATCATAAACCGGAGCATACGAGCTGAAAGCACCGTAGCTCAGGTACGTTACTGTTCGAGAGAAAATAAAATAATGTTAGTATTTAGAGAATTTTACTGTAATTGTAATGCGCCGATAAATTAGGACACCAACGAATGAAGAGAAATAATTAAATGAAGCCTGACCTGGGTTGATTTTATTCCGGATGTCATCTTTTGGCAGGTTGACGTGCGACTGGCCGGCGACCAACCGACCGACCACCCCTCCCAAATCCACCACTCTCTCTTTCTCTGATACTAATTCAAATTAGGTTGTGACGTACAATAAATAGGAACAAGATGAATTACAAGAAAATAATAATGCTGCTGCTACTGCAAATGTAAGCTCATCTATCGCCTAATAACTAAACTGAATGTGTTGATAGAAAGATAATTTCTAATGAAATTTGAATGAAAATCAGTGAGAGGTAGTGGCAAAAATATTCAATGAATGAAAGAAGGCCACTAACTGAATCCTCTATTATCTGGATTGAGGATATTCAAAACAGTTGTACCATCTGCCTCCTTCTTCAAGTAACCAATCTTAGTAAAGAAAACAAACAAACAGACAAACAACATTGTCGCCATGAATTTTACACGGTATGATATTAAAAATGTAATAATATCAAATCTGCTGGAGACCTTGCTGTTAGGTGCATGAGTTTGCAAATTTTCGGCGGCAAGTCGGGCAGCCGTCTGCACCTGCTCCAAAATCTCGCTGGCCGTCAGTTCATCTGGGATTGCTTCAAATTTTCCCAATCTTTCAGAATAATTAAATATATCAAAAAAATTTTTAAAACAGTCAAATGAGTAAAAATGATAAGAAATAAAATGATGAATGTTTGAATTTATGAACACTAACTCAACATTTTGGTTGCTGGCATTCAGATCTGGTGCTCTATCCAGTTCACAATATCTGCTTCTATTAGCAATGTTGCTACTGTTGTTAATATTATTTATATTATTAATATCATTGTTGTTAGCATTGCTTTCCTTGTCACAATCGATAATGACATCGTCATCGAGATCAACATCCTCTTTTGATAGATTGGACATGAATGCAAATGTCCGCCTCATCTGATTCATTCGTTCCTGCAAGCAACAACAACGACAACAGCAATGATGAAACCACAATGAAGAACTTAAAAATAAATTTGGAAATTATGATAAAATCATAAAAATAAATCAACGGAATAATTTGTGTACCTTTCCAAAATACTTGAGTCCAACGCCAAGTAAACGTCTGCCTTCTTTGTGGTAGATGGTATCCGGCTGGTTGTAGTCCATGCAGTTTGCCATCATCAACTTGAAATCATCCTGCAGGTCATCAATTCGCAATAATCACTTCACCAAAAAACTTATAAATAAAGACCATAGTTGAAGAATTAATAAAAAAGGTAAACAATAATTTCAACGAACCCTATATTCCCTGACAGATTGGTAAAATCCAGAATCAATTTTCTTCTTCATTGTGCTGAAGTCCATTGCTTTTGAAATGACCTTTGAATAACCCGGAGCTATCAGATCAGTTACGGGAAATGCAAAAAAGCCATTTGGGTCCTTCCTTTATATAGAAAAAATTTTTGAGCATAAAACTTCTTAAAATGTCAATTTTATTAGAAACATTTCATTTAAAATTTAAACAAACCAACTGAACATTAAACAAATTTGTAAAAAATTTGTAAAAAAATTTGCTGGTGAACCTCTGAAGTTGCTTATGAAGATGATCTAGACACAATTGCAGGGGGGTCCTTTCCTCAACAGCACCAGCAGATGCATTCATGTTTCGTTTCTCTCTCTGAATTCTGCTGCTGCTGCTGTTGGTCATTTTGTTATTTGAGGTAGTGAGGTCATCCTCACAGTATTCCTCCAACTGACTGTCCTCATCTGAGTCTGTCTTGTCATTCATTTTTCGCTTTTTGCGAAATTTTCTCTCGCTCGCCCCATCGCAAGATGTCGCTAAGTTCGAGCTAAGTTCAGGCGTCCCCGGATTGCTGCCTACTTTGAAAATTAATTTCAGGCTGGGCTTCTCCAGATTTTCTAAAAAAAGTAAAAAATTAGCATTTAACGGAAAAAATCAAAATAAAAAAAACACAAATTTTAAAAAATGTTAAAAAATTACGTTTCCTTCCGTGCATGATTTTTTAATTTAACTTATAAACTACTAAATAATTAATAAATACAAATTGAAAGTTTGAAATGAAAAGTGAACTGCAATTGAGAATGGGTCAAACTATTTGACATTTTTGAAATATTGGCTTATTGGCTTACATCGAAAATTGCATGGGTTTTAAGGGTCAAGCTATATGAAATATTTATTTGACTTATTATATTTAACTAGACGTTTTACATTTTGTAAAATCAAAAATATAGCCAACAAAACTGAACTGTTTCGGGCTCATATAAAAAACAAGCAAAATATATTTGACCATAGAGTGTTATGTAAATCTGTTACATGTTTAAACATTTTTCACTTTTGGACTCAAATAAAACACAATTTTAAAATGTCTTTGAACCATGGAATTACATTAAAGTCTATGTTTAAAGTCATTTAATTTTAGTTTAATCTCTAATCATCAAACTGATCATGTGAATCCATCCGAATTTGTTCAATTCCAACATACGAATTATGTATATTATGAGTGTTATGTAATTCTATGTTACATGTTTAGGCTTAAACCCCATAACTGGACTAATCAATTCGATCAATCGGTCGGGCTATTTGACATGCTAGGATTGTTGGCTTACGAAATTGCATGGATTTTAACGAGCTAGCTATATGAAATATTTACTTGACTTAATATGTTTAAAACATTTTAGTAATTCTATTTAATTTTATTTAATAGAATTATTTATTATTAAATAATTTTTGTTAATTTGAATATAAAAATTGCTTTTGGTTCGGTGAAATCTAACCCTTACTGAAGCCGAAGGTTGGTTTACTAGGATTGAGCTATACTGCTATAGTCACCTTTTTTTTACACCATTCGATCATGTTAAAATTTGTTTGCTTATGAAATAAATGGCCTAAATAGATCAAAATTGTTATTTGAACAACCATCTTCATTATATTCAATGAATATTTTACATTCTGCTGGTGCTCATAGAAACTGGTTGCTGAAATCATACGTTGGCTTACAGCAGTGGCTTATAGGGTTTCACAGAACAGTTCACAGCATAGCATGACTACATCAACATACCAAACAGAAATTATTTATACATGCATAATATATACAAAGTAAATCAAGAAATATTCAAAAATTATATAACCAAATTAAAAAAAAACTAGAAACCAGTCGACATTTAATAAATAAATAGATATTAAAAAGATTGTTCAAAAAGGTAAAATTTAAGGCGACGACGAGAATAAAAAGTAGTTTGTTTTGTTCATGGATATATATATATATATATATATATATATATATTATCAGTGATATTTTTAACAGTGTATTTATCATTATTATTGAAAATATTATTTAATTAATGATAAAGAAAATAGAAATTAGATAAAAAAGCTTAATTGAAAAAGCGTCTAGTTCGTATTTGTTTGTATCATGTTTGTATCATGTTTGAAACATGTTTGTTTTTTGTATTGTGTGCGTAATGCGTGTGTGCGCGCAATTATTTTTTTCTAAATTTTAATTTTAATTCGAGCTATGGCTCGCCTATGTTCAATTAACTCAGATCTCACTTTCCTACTTTCAACTGACACAATCCCTAGCCTACCTGTTGGTTGTTAACACTGCTCATTTTACAATTTATATTTGTGGTTTTATGTTACAAAAGTAGGAAAAATTAAGAAGAATGGACAAATTACGACAATATAACAACTAGCGCATGCATGCATGTATATATATGTGTGTGTGTGTTTATATATGTACGTATGTATGTTTTTAATTTACGTGTGTATGTGTATAATAATTTAAACGTAAGTCTTAAGTTCTATAATAATATAATAATTAAAGACTTACGTCTTAAATTCTATAATAATTCTATATTACGTCTTAAATTATTAAAGACTAAAGTTAGAAAGTTAAAGTTAAAGAAAGTTCTATAATAATTTAAGACTTACGTCTTAAATTATTATAGAACTTTCTAAGCAAAAGAATTAAAAAAAGTGAACGGCATTTAGTGAGAAGCCCCCTCGCCACGTCAA